TAACTCGGTGAAAAAAAATCGCACAATGCTGGTGGGGTGCTCAAATTAAAGCTAAAGATTTACGCTTTCAAACGCTGTAAACCTCATTTGCGTGCGATTTTTATTTTACTTTTTGGAACTTCGCAAACTTGGTAAAAAATTTTTAGATTTGATGCATCTCCATTTGCATCCGTGCAGTTTTGTAAAGAATTAATAAGTAATTTAATGAATTATGGATGTCGAAAGTAGAGACTTTAAGCTTTAAAATTCTTTTTTGATCATTCCGATACGATCATTTTTGACGAAGTTACACTCTCTTGAAATTTGCCTATTTTTAGTGATCAGAATGGGTGATGTTTTAATTTTGCTGTCGAGTGTATAAACACGGTAAATCATTTCACCCCTGTTGATTGCCGGTGTGTCCTTGCTGGAGAAACACTCGCTACGTCATCCGTTGCCTTTTGTTTACGCAGTTTACGTTTATCATAAATTTATACGTGTTTCTCAGGTTATATTAAGTGCGTCAGTGAACCGCCGAGTACCGAGAACCGCCGAATTGATCCTGGGATCGATGTAGCCGCGGAATTCTGCACGAGGCAGCTGTACGAGCTCATGAACTCCCTCGAGTTGCGACCTTTGATTTGGAGTACGTGGGTGTTTTACAATAAAATGCTTGCCGGAATGTGTAACCTGCTAAACAGTCACTTGTCGCTTATCCACACGTACAAATTTGCGCCGATATTAGTGGAGATTATTACTGCAGATATATGGAATTTAATTAAACGTTATTAGATACCATTTATAATCAAGTTAATATACTGATATCATTTTGGAGATATCATTGATAATCAAGTTAGTATTGGAGGTATATGCATGGAATTTAATTAAACGTTATTAGAGTGACATCATTCCATATTAAGTTGATTTAAGTAAATTTTCATTTAAGGAGTTACACCACCTTGAGCGCCTAAAATTCATAGGTAACTTTGGGAATTTTTTTTAGAAAAACAATAAAAGTAATACAAAATTCGTTTTAAGGCTTTAATAATACATATCTTTAGAAGTAAAA